GAACTGGGTCAGCCTCCCACCAGGCCACCCCAAATAAAGCAGCAAGGAAATGAGCTGTTCATTCTCCTCTCCTTGGGGGGCCTGGGCAGTGCTCAGCACTTTACAAGATACACATTAGTCCAGAGCTGCAGAAGCATCCCAAAGCCCTGGGAATCAGGTCATCTCCTGAATATATTCTGCACAGGGGCCGGCCCAAATCATCCCGAGGTCTCGCTGGGCCTAGATCAGTATTCTGGAGTTTCAAGGAGCCCAAACAGTGTGCCTGGACAGAGGACCGACTCGCACAAGGGAGGCGACTCAGACCTCTTGTAGCCCCCGAACATAGGACCTGCCCCTGGAGCCCCCTGCTTGATGATGGGGGCGCCTGGTGCTTTAATATTCTGACCCCTCTTTTGCAGGACACATTACCTTCACTTTCAAAATTTCTCTTGGCTTTCACAAATTTCAGGATCTCATGAAAGGATGTTTCACTACAAATTCATGAGAAAGGATGGCAAAACCTTTTTTTCCATTCCCTCCTAGGTATCTCAGCATGAAGGATGTCCAGAGTTAGTTAGACCAAAGGGAAAACCAAGATGGTGGGCAAGACGTAGCTTCTCATACATGACCTGATGCCGGGGCGAGCAGCACAGCAGTCAGTCTAGGCCCCCAGAGAGGGAACATCACCAGCTCTGAGATACTCTGGAACCAAATGATGGCAGGTTTGGACATGTAGAGGGATAAGAGGTGGGAATGGGCCTCAGTGGGAAGATGGCAGGGAAGACCACAGGGCCAGGCAGTCAAGGGAAGATGGCAGAGGGCAGACAGAAAAGGGTGGGTCACAGAACATGGCTGTGGGATGGCCTAACTTAGCTCGTTATTTTTCCCCAAATGTGCTATCCCAAAGAACTTAAGGGAAGCACTTCTTGGGTAAGTTAAAAATCATTTGTGTTCAACACATTTCCTCATAATTTCTGCTATAGACGAAGAACAGTGTTGGTGATGTCCCTCACCGCTACCATGCCTACTAAGCCAGTCAGCATTGGTCTAATCAGAGATTTTACTTCATTTTCAGGGTCTTTTTGTGTGTGCCTTTCCCCCTCAACTGTCCTTGGTCTTTATTCTATTTTACAGATTACTTGAACCTGCACCAGTGATACAGGGCAAGAAGGAAACCCATTTATAAACCATTCCGGTAAATGCTGCCTTTCTTCTTGAAACCAGTAGCCAAAAGGTATCAGTGAATTTGATTAGCTATGCTTGTCCCACACATAAACCAGAACTGGCTGCATTTCTGGGAAGTAAAATTTCTTCTCTGCCTGCTCTCTGGGTAAGTGACCTCAATCTCTTTTTAACCAGCAGGCCCCTTTTCTGACCACTCTGGAGTGGGGTATAGTATGAATTTTTTTTGGGGAGAATTCCCAGTCTCCTGCCCACTGTCTAACCCTGCTCCCCAAAGATGGATGTGTTAAGTTTTGCCTTAAATATAGTTTCTGTCATCATGGACTTTTCTCACAGGATTTATTTTTCTGTGTTTCATGTTCTCATTGATATTTTCTCCACATTTTCCGTACCATTCTCAAAATCTGAAACTTCAAACTGGAATGCAGAGTCTGGCACAGACTGCTACACAGCCTGGTGTAGGATCACCTCCCTCCCAGTTCTACATGGGCCTTCCTTCCTCTGGAGAAACCAGCAGCCTGCTGCTGTCCATGCACAGGCTGTCCCCACCAGCCTGCAGAGCAGCTGCTGACTCATGTTTACTTTGGGATCCACTGGGACCCCAGCTCTTCTTCTGTTCTGCCAGGACAACTGGCCCCCACCTCACAGAGCGCTCTGCCTACCACCTTCTAGGGGCTCGGCTCTGACCTGAGAAGTCTCCCACAGGCCGGCCCCGGCCCCAGCCCACCTGGAAGACGTCGTTGGCGCACTTGCGGCACAGGTTGTGCTGGCAGGGCAGGATCACCACCGGTTTGGAGAACATCTCCAGGCAGATGGGGCAGATGAGCTGCTTCTCCAGGTTGTCCATGCTGTGTGCATCCCCTAGCAGCGGCTTGAAGCCCACCGTGAAGTTCATCCCCTCAGCGATCGTGCCTACCCTGGCCCGGGCCCTGCTTCTGGCCTTTCCTCACTGCCTCTGGACCCTTCCTCGTTTTCTTCAGACAGTCCGTGGATCCTTACGTTCCCTCTGTTGGTCGCTCTTGAAATAGCTCTGCTATCTCTCCTGTCCCTTCCTCCAACAATTCACCTCGTCCTTAGATAGCTGTTTTCAGACACTTCTGCCTCTATTCTTTGCCCTGTACCCCAGCCAGGCTCGTGTAGCTTTATCTATCCCTCCCGCTTTGAATAACTCCGGCCCTGGAAATTTCTTCTTTTGCTTCCCAAATGACTTTTGTGCACTCTATGGGTAGCACTGTTTGTCCGTCACTCCAGAGAGGAGATTAATTTTAACGTGGGGGTGGGGAACAAGGGGCATCAGCATGACATTCCAACTCCCAATTTAGCTCATGTAAGGCGAGCCACAGCTGTCACCAAGTGAGTGACCCTGACGCACTCAGGAATGGGTCACTCCCTTGAGCAAGAGCTGCAGAGCTGCACTGGTCATGATAAAAGGTGGGCCAGCAAAGGCGTTGGGCTCTCGCTTGCTCTCTCATTTGAAAGGCTCCATGAGCCCCTGGCCCCCACGCTCTGGCTTTGGCGCAGGGCAGTGGCATGGAATCTAAATCGGCCTGTATGAGAGGCACCATATATGGATTAGGGTGAGAGGAAAGAGCTTGCCAGACCTACAGATAGTCAATGAAACTTTCTGTCTCCAAGGCTTAGCCGTGACCCTGGCCCTCTTCCACAGAACCCTGTGATTCAGAGCAGGGGCACAAGACACTAGAGAAAGAGGCTTTGATCCAGTGCTTCTGGTCCATTTTTGTTCTTGCCCATAACTTTCTTATGTCGCCCTCGGACAAGCAGCTCAGGAGGCTAGAGCTGGCAGTTGGACAGGCCTGGAACAGCCGCATGAACATACCCCTGAGAAAGTGTGGGATTCTGGTCCACAAACACATCACTGGAGCCACTCCAAGGACTTCACATTTGTTAGGAAACTGAGAGAAGGTGAGCTGGGCAGAAAGGATCTGAACATGCCAGGGACCTATTTTGGGTACCAAGGGAATCAGTCTCCAGGGAAATTTTAGATCACTGACAGTCATAATCACAAGGCTCTGGGAAGCCTCTGCCCCGACTCCACAGTAGTCCTGGACTCCCACCCTCCAAGGCAGGCAGGGCTCAAATGTGAGCACTGGTCCTCTTTTTCTTCTACAGGCCTTTTTCCTCTATCCCAGGTACAATTTGTCTTGTTTGGGCCCAACACATGGACTGGGACTGGACAAAAGCTTTTATTTACTGACATTCTTTAGCCCCTCTCCCTGTCAGGAGAGAGACGTTTGAGGAGTTCCTAGGCTCTGACCCTGGTGTAGAAGATACCAAACAGGCAGTGCCAAGAGGCACAAGTGGGGAAAGGGTCTGTAAAAGTGCAATCCTTTCCGTATCACAGGTTTCATGCCCCTCTTTTAAGAACAAAATATATGGTGATCAGCCTACATAAGATGTGGTAAAAAGGATGGAGACAAGCAGGCACTGGTGGGTGAACATCAGTCAGCCCACAGGACCTGTTACAGTGGGTGCTGTGCTGGCAGCTGTAGTCCAGGAAGGGGACAGAGGTGCCATATCTACCCCTGAGCCTTAAATACATTCAGGCTTTTCCTGAATTGACTCATGGTAGCACAGTGTGAGACTGGCAACACCAAGTGCACAAGCACCAGAAGGTGAGACCAGCCCCAGAAAGGTGGTGATGCTAACAGTTCTTGGGACACAGTTGCAACACAGAAGGGTTGGCTAGTACAGCAGCTCCAGAACAGGATCTGCGTGCTCAGTTATCAGGATCTTGGTGGAAATATCACAAGTGGCTCAGCGACCCTATCCTCTGACATTAGCTCAAATCCCAAGAAAAGCACAGGAAAAAGAATGCTTGGACAAAGTCTGTCACCACTGCCTGAGACCTCATAAGGGTAGGGATGGGAGGACTGCTGTCTAACAGGTTGAAATTGGACCAGGGTCAGTGATACCATCAAAGAGGGAGATAGTATGCTCACAGTGGAGGTGGGGTGGGTGGATACATGCCATCAATGCTTCTGAATTTGGGAGTCTTACAAGAGGGGCAAATCAGGGTCAATGTCAGGACAGGGCTACTTGCTCCCCTCCCCAACATGTCCAGTGGACTGGGGAGCAGAAGTCACCATCACTGGGTTAGCACCTAGGGGCGGAAGAAGTTGGTATCTTGTTAACCAGAAGAAATGATCATCCAGAACTTAAAGTGAACACCCCGTAAGTCAAGATATAAACACCTGAAATTCCACCATAAGGATATAAACTTTCCATAACAATTCATCTGAAATTAGTGTATATTCTTTTCTTATCCTTTAATTATTCCTGCATTTCAGTTTGCATACTTCACTCTTCTTCATCTTTTAATCATCTTAACTGTAGTTATTGTCCCTGCTTCTAAAGTTTCTTTGTTTCCTGTGGTGGAATTTGAAAAACTTATGTAAACATTTAGTTAACAATTTTTTCCTCTTCTGGTGAGTAAGCAGTTACCTTGCAAGTACACATTAGCATCACTAGATGGCACTGGTGCAAGCGTCAGTCAACCCATCCTTTTAAAGTTTGATTACTTGGGTTGGGTATAATCCCAGACCCTTTATCATCCTCCTGAGTAAAAGCAGTAAACTGCATTTTTTAACCTGTCTTCAACTACTACCTTTTCTAGGCACACTGTCCTACCCCGTTCCTTACCTTAACTACTACCTCATTCCTAGCGCAACAGTCACAGGAGGCCAACAAACATTGCACTCACACTGTCAGTTTGTTGCACAGCCCCTCAGAAACAGTGCATCCCCTTTTCTTTCCTCACTTTGTCCCTGTACCGACTCAAGACTCCCGTATTTAGGGCTCACTGCCCACATCCCTAATCCTCAAGTGAGCATGTCTTGCCTCAGCGGCTGTGTAGGGGTCTCACCTGCCCTTGAAGGCTGTCGCCTGGTGTGCTGCAGGCACACCCTGCCTGCAGCCTCCTCGAGGGGTGGCCTGAGGACCCCACAGCACAGGCAGCAACAGAAGCAGCAGCAGCAGCAGGTGAGCGGCGTACACAGGAGCACCAGTGCCTGGTGGGGGCAGGCGCCTCACTGCAGCAGCCCCGCCTGGGCCCGGGCTCCCCACCCTGACCCTGCCAGCACCCAGAGGGGGACAGCAGGCGCACGTTCTGGGAGTCGGGGGCCGCCTCGCCTTCCTGATTCCTAAGGGGCTACAAGAATTGTGTACCTTGAACCAGCAACTATTCATCATAAAATAGTATCTGACGCCTTCTTCACCAAAGTGATCATGTATATATACTCCCAGTGAGCCATGACGGTCATAGATTTTCTGCTTCTTAGAGTCACTCAGTATGGAGTGAGCTGTGTTGATCTCTTTGAATATTTCTGCTTATTGAACGTCCCCTGGATTCTTGTCTGGATGATACTTTAAAGCCAGTCTCCTATCCAGGCAATACGAAAAGGGATGCCGGGAGAGAGGGCGGGGATTGGCTGGGAAGCAAAGGGAGGCTGGATGGCAGGGATAGGTCTGTAAACGGTGAAGGAGGAATGCATGAGGGGTAGTACAGAGGGTGGGGGCTCGCAGCCTGAGTCTACATTTCTTCCCATGCCACACCGAAGAGCATGATGGCCCATCCAGCCCCAAAGTGAAGGCTTAGGGATTTTAAAGTGAGTCAGAAAGCAAGGTAGAAAGGGAAAGGTTTGTGGGGGTGGGGAATTCCAGGGTTTAATAAGGGGCTGAGGTCTGAACCTGTAGGCCTTTTTGATGTCTTCAGGTGAGGCACCCTTCTTATGCTCCAGCATTGCATAGAGGGTGATCCCACTTTTGGACAGCTGGTGGGCTGCTTCATCCACATGAGACATGACCTGGGTCAGAGAAGAACCTCTGTGGGAGCTTTCACAGGTGAGGCTGAAGAGAAGTGACCTTCCCCTGACAGGAAACGCACTGGCTTCAGGGACTAAGCAGGTACATGACTACAAAAGGACAAGTATAACACAGCCATGAGTGGGATCTGTGACTAGCAGGAGAATACAGGTGACCAGAAAGGACAATCACATTCAGATTTTGAAGAGGAAACCTCTCCTCATAGTTCCACCATCCTTCAGCAATCCAGACCTACAGATTCCCCACCTCCTAGAGAGATGGAAGCAAGGGGAGGCCTAAACCCCGGGAAGAGACTAATGTAGTCCAAAGCTACCAGTGCCTTATGTAAACAGCCCTGGGTCTGCCCAAGCTCACTGCTGGGTTGGAAAGACCAGGGCAGCCCCAGCCCCTGAACAGGTTGGGTCAGGTATAGGGGCGGTCCACAGCTCCAAACGGACAAACAATGCCCAAACCTGCCTTGCCTAAAAGAAGTCAGGTGTCCAAAAGCCAGGCCAGAGGGCAGTGCTTGCAGCTGGGCCAGAGACTTCTCTCCCCTGGCCTCCCTCTCACCATCCCACCTCTACCCCTCAGAGACGGGCCAGTGGAGAGAACAAAGTGGTGACTCAAAGGAAGAAGAAGGACGGGAAAAAGGCTAGAGGTGGGGGCCGACCCGCAAGGGAACAAAGCGGGACCCCACTGAGCGGGGCAGAGCTCAGGAGGCTGTGGCCCAGGAGAACCAAGGCCGCAGCTCAGAAGGGAACGCTGTGGGTCCTAGGTGCCCTCTGGCCCTGTGTAGCCTCCCCACGCAGCTTGGCACTTCACCTCGGCGTCGGTGTCTTCAGCTGGGAGGCCTCATACAACCTCCATCAGGGTGTGAAACCACACGGCGGGGACGCCGTCGCGGTCCAGTGGCCGACTGCGCTTGCGTGTTCCGTTAACACTCTGGGTAGTTTTTGGCGTCGCCGGAAGGTCTGGGTGGTGAGGTTACGTGAGCCCTGGGACTTATTTCACTTGGGGAAGCCTGGCGATTGGCCTGGCGCCACGCGAGCGGCGGTTCAAGACTTTCCAGTGGGCGCGGCCTCCAGGGTCATCCCTTCGCCAGTAGGAGCCGTTAGTCCACGCTGATCACCATTACTACTTATCAACTCATGGACAGGAAGGGGGTTTGCAGACTGGCTGTACGAGAGGTATGTCTGCTGCAAGCCTTTCTCATGAGGTGTATTACCTTCCTGGTCCTCTCTTTTCACAATCAGGGGGGTCTCCACTTGGTCCTTTCATTTCCTTCTACCTGGAAACTCCTACACATACTTTAAGACCCACCTTGAATGTCACTCTTACTGGGAATCCTTCCTTCCTTCCCCCAGTTGTTCCCATCTTGCTCTATCAAAGCATTTATCCCATTATATTGCAATTACTAGTTCATACATTCCTTTAAAATGATATCATGAACATTTCCGAAAGTCACTACTTAGACGCTTTCTTAAAAAATTTCATTTAAATACTATCACGAGGATGTACCATAATATAATTATATAATCCAGACTGAATAGTTGAGTTGTTTGTAACCTTTTGATAATGTAATAACCTTACAATGAAAGTTCTTATCTATAAATCTCTTTTTATCCCTCTTGGGGTAGATTCCCAGGAGTGGAATATTGGGTCAAAGCAAATGGTTTGAGGCTCTTGATCCATATTGCTAACTTTCATCTATGTTACCAAAAATACCAATTTGCATTCCTGACCAATTTATATCCCACCTGCAGGCCATGAGAGTGCCTATCTCTACCTGGCCTCACTTCTGTGATTCCTACAGGCGGTAGTGTTTGCACCGCTTATAGTTTTCATGCCGTGATGTTGGATTTCTAGAGGAGCACTCCTATAACATGTCATTGAAAGAGCTTTGTTATTTTAATAATATCTTTCTGTTACCCTCTTGCGGCTTTTACTATTCTCTTCCTTATATTACATTTCCCTCCCTGTTAGGTTTTAAGTGGTACATCAATACTTCTTAAGAGATGTGAGCCAGCTGAGGAAGCTAATTAAGGAGTCTACATGCAACAGTCGCAGTGACCACTGAATTAATTCATTTCTGTAAATCTGTAATAGGTGTAAGGGGTGGGCATGAAAATCTTTGGTATCATCTACCCAGTTCATAGGTTCTGGGTAGGATGAGCTTAGGGTTAGTCACCCAAAGCAAAAGAGCTGAAGCTGACAATTGGTTTTTGCTGGTTTGTACTATCACGTGTTTCCTTAATGAACCTCCCTGCTCTCATCATCGTCATGGGATAACAGAACTAGCAGGACAACCAGGTCATTTCTTCACTAGCACTGGGAAAAGAGCAGAAGACCTGAGAAGTGTGGTACCCTTACAGAGGATTCCTTCCCTCAGTTCTCTAGGCCCTGTGTAGACTGGAGCCTGCTTCTCACTCCAGCTCTGTTGAGTGCCACTGTCTTGACTGCTCTGGTCTCTGCTGCACTGCTTTTCTCCTAGTTCTTTGGAGACACGTGTTCCCTCCCACTTCAACAGCTTTTGGCCACACTGCTCCCTCCGTCTGGAGGATTCTTCCCCAGGCTATTCGCTGGCTGACTTACCATTAGTAGAGGAGCTCCGCTTTGTGCCTCATCAGGGAGGACTTCTAAATAGAGTCGCAGTCCTCTCTCCCTACCTTCTGACCCCCTCTCCATGATTTGTGATTATGTTAATTTTCACATTGATTCGTTTAAGATCTGCCTTCCCTAGTAAACAGTGAGCTCCACGAGGGCAGGGATATTTATGTTTGTTCACTGCTGTATCCCCAGCGTCTGGAATCATGACCTTGCTCACACAAGTCAATGAATGATTTGTTGAATGAACTAGAGCAGAGGGAGCCCTCTGCTGGTCCAGTATAGGCCTAGAGGTTGGGCACGAACTCTCTGGGGGCAGAAACACGTAGCTGAGAGCAGGACGGGATTACAGGGCCCATATTCCCTTGTACAGTCCTAGTCAGGAAGAGACGCAGGGGTACAAAGAAAGAAGGTCATAAGGGAAATAGTATTGGTGATTCTGAGCTCCTTCTTTTTTGTTTGTCTTAATCTTCCTCCTGTTCCTCACACATTCCTGAGATACTGTTGTGCTCAAAAAGTGTTGGCTGGGTGAAAGAATGAGCAGACTTTTTGTGTGACTTTTCAGAGGCACTTTTACCTAATTATCTCTGATCGTTACAATATCCCTGAGAGGTGGTGTGGTCAAGTCCTTGCTTTACAGCAGTCAGCCCTGAGCAAGAGGGCAAATTAGGTTCTGAAAAGAGTTAGTAACCTTCACATCTTGCCAGAGGCTCCAGGATGTTATTACTTCTTATCATTGCCCTCTGACATTTTAATTAATTCTAGCCATAATTTGTGGGTCTTGAAATAGCCATTATCTTTAAGTCTTCTCAGCCTCTGCTGTAAATGAAATGACGCTGCAGCCAGTATGCTGCAGAGATGAGACTAGAGCAGGCAAGTTAGCCTGCATCCTTTGGCCAGAGGTGCTCCGCTTTACCTTCACCTAGAAACAGACCCCATTGGACTTGTTGCACCACACCTAGCACAGTACTAGAAACAACACACAAACTACAGGTCAGAAGCCCTTGATCTTCATTCCGGCCTTGTTAGGTTCTACCAAGCTATGTGATTTTGGACAAGTCATTTAATCTCTTTTTCCTCTTCTGTAAAAACCTGTGCCATTTCACAGGGTTGCTGTCAAGACTAAATTATTTAATTTAGGATCAAGATTAATTTGATTGAAAAGTAATGGGAAAAATAAAAATAACTATGCCAAGGAATGATTACAGACTAACATCTTTTCTAGAATTATTTGTCCTTCTGCCATATCTGGAGTCAGTGATCTTAGGGTTTGCTGCCTCACAGAGCCATTTGGTCTCTCCTGGAGGGAACCAAGAAGCATCCCTTATTTACCCACAAACAACTAAAGTTTTAGTCATATAGCTGGAATACACACATACAGACAGCAGACAGTAGCATATTTATACCCAAAATATCATACTCTTGAGCATATGCAGTGGGAGAGAGAGAGAGATCATAATTTGTCATACCCAACCACCAGGTTCTAGAACAGTGCAGTTTTCAAGCTGCAAAGGACCTCAGAGACTTAACGCTCATCCAATGCCTTCATTTTGTAATTGAGGCAAGTGTGACCCAGAGCAAAGGGTCGACCTCATGGCTAACCAGTGAGGTCCAGACCTAGGTATTCTGACTCCAAGTTAATGCCTACACCATGACACACCAGCTCCCATCCCACTTTAAAATCTAGGTCTAGAGATGGACCAAAGCTGTAGTTGATATTCACCTCCTTTCATGGGTGATGTTAGGTAATGTCTCTCTTTCCCTCCCTCCAATTGAAATCACACATACCAGGGGTGACTAAAAACACTGCTGACCTAGTTTGTTTGTCCTGCTGGGGGCCGACATCTCAGTGTGGGAGGTGGAGGGCTTTTAGCTAGAGAGGCTGCTTCATCCTCTGACCTGCAGCTCCAGACTCTGCAGACCTAAGGGCAGGCTAACAGGGGGCACCTGCCTTACCTATAAAATAGATAATAGAGACCGCAGTGTCTGCCTCTCAGGGTGGATGTTAGGAGGGTTAAATATTTCATTTGAACAGTGCCTGGCACGTGGTAAGTGCTGTGTCTTCCTCATCACTATCATCATTTTTTCTATCCAGTCTCCTCCCACTTTGGTGAAGAGAGAAGCTGCTTTTCATTTTGTCTCTGGGAAGAAGGGAAAAATCAGGATCTTTCTTCTAAGATTTGCAAATTGTCATTGGACTCCTGCCATCCCTTTTCTACATCTTTCTCTCAGCCTCTTAGCATGCATTTTCTTGTTCCCCTACCCAGTGCCCTTATATTGCTTCTAACTACGCAAAATATCCCCAACAGTCCCTCCAACCAATCAGAACTCCCAAAGTGCCTCTCACTTCCTTTCCTTTTAACATTTCCAATAAAGATGATTACCTCCATAAAAT